ATTAAAGTTCCTATGCCTGGTTGAATGTATGTCCTTATGAATAAGAAATTTTACTTCTACATATTTTTTCACTTAGCAACTTCAGTATGTTGAGACCCTAAACAGAACTCATCAGTTTTGTGTTCAGATTAGTTCTCTAAATTTTATACTTTCTGAATCAAACTCCATCTACAATAACAATTAAATTTCATTTACTTGTTTTACTTTTTGTTAATCCTCATGCAGGGATATTTTTCCCATTGATTTTTTTTTTTTTTTTTTTTTCAGAAAGAGTGAAAGAGAGGGTGGGGATGAAAGAGAAAAAGAGAGGGTAACATCAATGTGAGAGAGACATATCGATTGGTTGCCTCCCGCACGCGCCCCAATCTGGGCTGTGGGTCGAACCTGCAACCCTGGTATCCACCTTTGACTGGAAATCGAACCCGTGATCCTCGGTGCATGGGCCAATGCTCCAACCACTAACACACACCAGCCAGGGTCAATTAATTTCATTAAAAAATTTTTTTCTTATAATGCAAGTTTACAAATTAATTCACCACCATTATTAAAGATTCGAATTACACAAAGGCTACAGAATGAATTGTGAAAATCTCTTTCTAAAGGGGAGATAACCAACATTAATTCAATGCACATTGTCCCAATCTTTCAGCTATAAATGAACCTAGATATATATGGCTTTAAAGGGCTTTTTAAAAACACATAAATTGGATGACACTGTATATATTGTTCTGTACTTGTTTAATTAAAATGTTGACATCGTTCTATGTCAGTACAACACATCTACCCAATTCTATTTAATGGCTGCATACCAGTATATAATAGTCATATTTTACCTAACCATTTCCCTACTGAGATGTTCCTACCTCTTTGAAATTATGAACAATACTGCAATTAAAGTTATACACATCAACTAAATATTTGTCATAAAACAGTCAATACTACTATAATTGTAGAGGCACATTCAACAGGTAAGACCCCTTTAGAAGTTCAACAGGTAAGACCCCTTTAGAAGATGAAATATTATGAGATAAAATTTTCTACATTCCTAAAAACAAAGTAAAAATTTTATAGAGTGACACAATGAAGAATTTCAATTATTTACATGTTTTCTAATTGTTTAAAAATATTTTTCGTATTTACAAATGCTGGTTTGAGTGTCCCCTAGTTTGTTGGAAATATATATTGCCACTGGAAGGAGCTCTATAACACCTCTCCCTGCACATTTAACAATCTGGAACTCTAAGCACTATTTAAACCCTGATACCTCTAGTTATACTATCCTTCACAGTCGACTTATGTCATCATCTTTCCTGGGAAAAATCATGCACTTCCCGCTCACAAATCTTCACACGTTTAATCTCTCCCATTTCTCTCTGATCAATCATATCAATCCAGTTTTCCATTATCCTCCCAAGCCAGCTTTTACTCCTGTATCCCTGACACCCTTACAGTGAGGTCCATCCACCCATTTCAGGTTCACTTGCAAAACAGCCCTTCCAACAGCTGACCAATCTTGTTAATTCATAGTTTGTCTAACTTTCCCCCAGATATTTTTCTAAAGTCTAGAATCTAGACTATTCTCAAATTCCCATTTCTCCCTTCCCAGCTTCTTTCTCATTTTTGGCAGATTCTCACTTTATAGAACCGAAGTCTTCATCTTAACAGCGTAATACATGATGTACCCTTATCCTTCCTTATAAGCTCAAAACAGAAAACATATTCTACATATCTGAACCAGCCTCTCCTACTCTTAACTGTTGATAAGTATGGAGGAGAGATTGTTCTGTGAGGTGACTGCTGCCTGTCCTACAAGCTGGACCCAGACGGCTTTCTGCAATCCCCCCTTACAGACTATCTGATCGTAATTAATGTTCACTCTGACATCAATCAGCACCCCTCCCTTGCCTCCTGTTATGTATTGGTCC